TCCTCTCATGTGTTTTCAGATTTGCTGACTGAATGAATCTCTTGTTGCAGTGTGAACACTTGTATGGTTTCTCTCCAGTGTGGGTTCTCTCATGTGTTTTCAGATTTGATGACACACTGAATCTCTTGTCACAGTGTGAACACTTATAAGGTTTTTCTCCAGTGTGAATCCTCTGGTGCTGTTTTAAATTTTCAGCTGAAGTAAAAGTCTTTTCACACTCAAAGCACATGTTCTCTCTCACACCAGTATGTATTTTCTGGTGTTCTTTTAAATATTGTAGATGTGAAAAACTCTTTCCACACAAATAACATAAATGTGGTTTCTCCTTTTTATTAACTGTCAGGTGTTTCTTCAGGTCTGAAGTTCTCAAAAATGTTTTACTGCATTGATCACATGCGTACAGTTTCTCTCTAGTGTGGATGTTCATGTGTTCCTTAAGGCTTGATGATTGTGTGAAACTCTTCCCGCACTGATCACACGTGTACGGTTTCTCTCCAGTGTGGATCCTCTCATGTGTTTTCAGATGTCCTGAATTAATTAATCTCTTGTCACAGTGTGAACACTTGTATGGTTTATCTCCAGTTTGAACTGTCATGTCAAATTTATATTTGCTTGAGAAACTGTTTCCACACTGAGTGCAGGTGAAAGATTTCTTGGCTCTTCTTTTCTTTAAATCTTTCTGTTTGGTTTGAGAGCAACTCAAAGGTTTTTCTCCAGTTCTGAGATGCATTTTCTCAACTTCACTCAATTCCTCATTATCCTTGTTTTCTTCAGTCAACTCTGAAATAAAAGTAAAAACGGTTAATTTTCTGTAACTCAGTAACCCTGATGAACCCTGATGTAACAGTGTAAAGTAGAAGAGCCAATTGCTATACAAAATATTGGTCATTTTGATACATTTTTATTAAGTCTGTCAAAAATAAATTCATTTTAACGGCACAAATTTTATTAATGCAGCGCACATTTCCTGTTTGACTCGTGGCCTAACCTTTAGTAGGAGAAATAAAGATGCAGCCATAGCCAGTAAAAGGTGCAGCAGATTGCCAGAAATTGAGAAAGAAAAAGGTCTTCTGAACGGTAAATTCATATACAAAACGATGTCTGATGGTTCTCTCGACAAGACATAAGTTGTCTGCATTTATTGTCGATGTGAATTAAGTTATCACCACAGCACGTCGAGTTTAAAATATCACTTGATAGCGCAGCATACAGCTGATGCAGAGAGCTCTCCTCCTCCAAGCCAAAGGCAGACCACAATAAATAGTTTGCAGTGGAGACGGATGGACAACTCCACAAGCAATAGACTCACCACAGCGATAGCTAAATGGGTGGCGACAGCATGTAGGCCAGTTAATGTAGTGGAGGACGAGGGTCTACTGGAAATTATTCGGACGCATCTAACAATTATACATATGAACTACCTTCGAGAGCCACCATTACAAGCAAGGTTCACAACTCCTATGTACAGGATAAAGCTAAAGTTGAGGAGGCGTTGAGACAGACAAACACGGTTGCGCTAACCGGAGACTACTGGACGTCCCTCAGTAACGATAGCTACCTAGGGGTCACAGCACATTATTTTGACACACACTGGAATCTTTGGTCGCACGCTTTGACTGTTATGAAGACAGACGAGAGGCACTATGCTGATGTTTGAGCTGAGCACTTTCTGCAAATAGCCAGATAGTGGAACATTAAACTCAAAATTAGCACACTGACCACTGATAGTGCACACAGCATGATTGCAGCAGCCAGGCTGCTCCCATTCGAGCATATGCCGAAGCAAAGTAAGGAAAAGAGAGAGAAAAGTAAAAGAATGGCAGTATTTCACATCAATTTTAACCACAACCTAATGAGAATCATCAAAGAATCAAAAAATCACCTTAAAGGGGCTCAAGCTTAAACACGCATCTAAATAGTTGTAAGCGGCTTTACTTGCATTGGCTTCGATTGCTGAACAAGAGTCCTGATGCGGAGACAACGGAGGTCTTTGATGAGTTCTTTAGGAGTGAGCTGGAAGTTTACTTCTGGTTCTTCTGAAGATAGGAAAGTCCACAGCGAATCGAAG